CTTTTTTTTTTTTTTTTTTTTTTTTTTAATTTTGACTCAGGGTCTTGCTAAGTCACTCAGCCTGCGATCCTACTTGCAATCCCCCTGCCTCAGCTGTCCCTTCTTAATCCAGAACAAAGTGATTAATTTATGACAAGACATTCCAGTCTCATGAGAGCTGTTAAACCTTGGATCCTTTGGTAAGCTCTTGAAGAAAGCAGGGATTGGCATCCTGTCTTGATACCTGCCCACATCTTCCTTCTTTTTTTAAAATTTGGATTATTAGCGAGCACCTACTGCAAAGCAAGCTCTATGATATGAAGCCCCTTCCATGCAAATCTTCCCAAATCATGACAATAGCCCTAGAAAGCTGGGTGTGGCTGAGGCAGGAGGATTGCCATGAGTTTGAGGAGAGCCTGGGCTACACAGTGAGTTCAAGGCCAGCCTGAACTACATAGTGAGAACTGGTTTTAAAAAACAAAACAAAACAAAACAAACCAACTAAACCAAACCAAACCAAACCAAACCAAACAAAAAAACCCAAAACTGCAGTGGCCCTAGACATAGGGTACTATTGTTGCCCTCATTTTACAGATGGGGAAATTGAGGCCCATGAAACTAAGTCACTTGTCCAAGGTCACACTTTAAGTTGATGAAATACTGTCCAGTTTAGTATCACAGTATTGCCCTTTAATCTCTTCGCTGTGTCCCTCAGGTTAGAGATAGCAGGTGCTTTTGTTGCTGTTTTGGGGCTTTTGATTCTTTTTTCTGGTGGTGCTGAGGATCATACCCAGGGCCTTGAGCGTGCCAGGCAAGTGCTCTGTCACTGAGCTGTAGCTGCAGCCCCCGAGGTGGTAGGCTTTCTAAGATTCTAGCTTGTTAACTCTCCTCCAGTTGGGGAAAGATCTTTACTTTAGCCTTTGAGTAGTTCAGGACCCCACTCTGGGCCTCAGTTTTCCCATTCTATGAGGGCTGAAGGGAAATAACGCTTGTAAAAGAACTTGGTGATGTTTAAGTTCCTGTAGGACATTATGTTGTTATTTTTAGTTTCCAGGCCTGTGCCAAGAAGTAGGAGCTTTTTCAATTCATAGGAAGTTCAGTGAATCACCAGGGTAAAGGTTTTGCTGCCCAAAAAGGTTGATGTAACCTTGGGCCCCATTCATTGCAGCCAAGATGAGGGAAATGATTGTTGTACTCTACAGCTCCAGGGTTGTTGTTCTCAGAGCTGGTTTCCTGGCTGATGGCTATAATCACTGACAAGGGAAGGGAGGGGCTGGAGCATCAGGGCCCTGGAAACCCATGTACAGGGCCCGGTGGGGTCTGCTCGTGTCAGTGTACACATGAGCCACAGGGCAAGGGTTGCCAACTCATATGCTACTGTGGCCGAGAGTCCGCGCGGGGTGGAGACTGGCCAACTGCTAATCACGGATCGGTGTAAGGATTCAGCTGCTGCTGCTGCAGCTGACTGTTTCCACAGAGGGAAGAATGTAGGCTAGCATTGCCCAGGCTTTTTGTTTTTCAAGGGGAGCTGAATCTTATCATCAAAGCCACGTTATATAAACAAAACCTGTGTGCCCGGTGGATGAGGTGTGGGCATTGCCATTTGGCCACCCGGACCCAGAAGATCACGTAGGACTCATCCACTCATTATTTTTAGCATAGGGTTTTGACGTGGGGAAAATGGAAAGGGGCGCCCATCCACATCTGCTCTAATCTTGCTACTTCTGGCTCCCCTTGCCTGTCAGATGGCCTGGTCTGGCCCCTCCATTCCAGCTCTGTTTGTTCCTGTCCTCTCCCGGACCCTAAGGCAGCCCATCTCTGGGCTATCCTGCTCCTGTCCTGGGCTCTTGCTCAACTGCCTCTTCTCTACCTTACCTGAGCTAGCTTGCATTTCTCAGACTTCTCCAAAGCTGCTCTATTCTCTGCTTATCATTTTTAAAATCAGCAAATGGCTTGATCTACTACTTGACAGAGAAAATCATCAGGTGGGCTTCTTGAATCCCCCCCTTACCTTCCTGCCACTCCCACCACCTGTCATCCCCACATCCCTCTTCAACTAGGATGAGTCCCCTCCTTCCTTCGTGACCCCCCAATTCTTTTTTTCCCTCATTGAGTTTATTGGTACATTCTAGGTATACAGTACAGTTACATTCATCACTGGGATCTTGTACTTTTACATGACAGGCCTTGGTTCTCATTTTCTTCCCTTGAAGGTGCCCTCCCTTCACCCCCTCCTCCCTTCCCTATTTACAAATATTTTATTTCAATTTTTTCATTTTCTCGTGTTTTTTTCTTTTCCCTTATTACCTTTCCCCTACCCTTTCCATTTCCCCTACACCTTTAGCCCTTTTCTTCCTATTTCACATTGTCAATTATCTCATTAGGATCTTATGTACCATTAAAGCTTTTCACACCAGAGAAACTATTTGGTATTTATACATGTGTGACTTATATATTTCACTTAGAAGTATATCCTCAATATGTATCCATTTTCCTATGAATGACTCTAATTTCTTATTCTTTATGGCTGAGTAGTATTCCATTTTATAGAAAAACCACATTTTCTTTATCCAGTCTCCAAATGATGGGCAAATGGGCTGTTTCCAAGTTTTAGCTATTACAAACTGTGCTGCTATAAACATGGGTGTGCCTATATCACTGTGGTATGATTCTTTTAATTATTTTGGAAAGATATCCAGCAGAGGGATGGCTGGGTCAAATGGAACCTCTAATCTCAGTTCTTTGAGGTATCTCCACATTGATTTCCACAGTGGTTGCACCAGTCTGCACTCACACAAACAATGGAGAAGGGTTCTTTTCTCCCCACAACGCCACCAACATTTGTTATTGTGTGATTTCTTGATAGCAGCCATTCTTTGTGGGGTGAGGTGAATCTCAGTGTTGTTTTCATCTGCATCTCTCGAATGACCAGTGATGTGGAACATTTTTTCATATATCTACTTGATGCTTTTACTATTTGTCTGAGAAATGTCTGTTCATTTCAGATGCCCATTTTCGAATCGGGTCTTTATATTTGTGGGGGCTGATTTTTTTGAGTTCTTTATATATTCTAGATAATAGTCCTTTGTCTGAGGAACAGCTGATGACCCCTCCAATTCTGATCTATCCACCCCTTCAGTACACTCAAGAACGTTGCTGTGTCATTTTCTGTCTCCTTTATCTTCAGTCTGTGTGTCTCACAGCCTATAAACATACTAAAGTCTCTCCATTTAAACCCCTGTAACAAACCAGGCATGGTGACATACAGCTGTAACTGTGGTTACTTGGGAGATAGGAGGATTGCAAGTTTGAGGTCAGCCTCAAAATTTTTGTTTGTTTACAATCTGGGGAATCCAGGGTCTTCACACTGAGCTATATCCCCAGCCCATATTGTTTTTTGAGACAGACGGTGTAGGGAACAGGGAAAGGAAACATTACCAGAAGCCCTGCAGTCAGTCCTGGTGTCCTGTGAACCATGACAGCACATGGCAAATTAATGAATAAAGACAAGGTACGACACTTAGAGAAGAAGCTGAGCTTTGGGCAGCAAAGATGAAGGCACCCTGAGTTTACCATTATTTATTGAGTTCATAGGGAGTAACAGATGACTCAGAGGGTGGCGGTAATCCTAAAACCATAAGGATTTTATGCTAATGAGGGTCTTATGTTGATTAGGACAGCAAGATGAGCAAAGATGTTGTCCCAGTAGTCGGTGGGATGAGTCAAACTGATGATTTCTCCCTCTTCCTTTCTACTTGGTTTTCAAAGAACCAGGATGTTTTCAGCTGATGTAATCCTGCCCTTGAGCATCACAGCATCACAGGACCATTGAAGTCTCAGCTGTGATTGGAGGCAAAAATGGAGTTATGTTTCGTACACCATAGCCAGCCTGTGGGCCAGAAGACTAGGCCTGATCGTAATTTAATTGTGAAATGAGTTTTCCCCAAAATTATGTAGAATGGCTCCCACAACTGGGCACAGACTTTTAATCTCCTACCCCTGCTTCCCAGAGTACAGGGATTACTTGTGTGCATCACCATGTTCAGCTTGCCTGGGGAACTTTGTAAGACCCTATCTCAGAATAAAAATAAAAAGGGCTGGGGAGGTCAGTGTGAGGTCCCGTGCTCAATCCTCAGTATCAGAAAGCAAAACAAAGCAAAACAAAGCAATGCAACGCAAAATGAAATATCCTTCCCTTCCTCCTGTGAGCCCCTCATTTATCATGTTGCTCTCCCCCACATGCCTTCTCCTGCACGTTCCCAAGGAGATAACTACTCTGGCATCTTTCAACTCTTTCTCAGCAGCCACGGGGGTGTAAGAACATTTGCTTAGAATCAATGAGTACCTGGGTTTGGTCTCCGGTACCATAAAAACAAAACAAAAAACACTAAACCAAATAAATAAAACATATCCACAACTAGGCAATACGTATCATGTTACTACTGACTCCTTCACTGTCACATTGAAAGGAAGTTTCCCGCCTTCCTGTACTTGGCCCAGTTGGTGCCTGTGACCGTCGGTGTTGGCAGGGGTTTGTCCCTGGCCTTTGTGGCACATTCTGTCTTTGTTCTCCCATTTCAGCACCCTCAACACTCAGGCCAGCTGAGAGTGCTGCTGTACTGTCCTGAGTTCAGCCCCCAGCTGCCTTCTTACCTTGTGCCCTCTCCTGGGCTCTCACCCACTGATGGCTTCAAGTAAGGCCTTCATTCGTGTCCACAATTCTCCAGGGTTTCCTTCGTAAACCCTAGAGCAGAGCTGTCCAAGGAAACTACATATGCATCACATATGCAATTTAAAATGTTCTAGTAGCTACATTAACAGAGCAAAGTGCACTAGGTGAAATTAATTTAAATAACTATTATATTTAACCTTATTTCTAAAATATCATTGCTTTAAACTCTGTCTTTTCAGTAGTAGAGATTGGGTTTAGAGAATGCTGAGCTCATCCTTAGTCCTTTTAATTTTTTTATTTTGAGACAGGGTCTCACTAAATTGTCTAGACTTGCCTCGAACTTGTGGCCCTCCTGTCTCACACGCCAAAGCAGCTGAGATTACAGGTCTGTGCCATCACGCTGGGCCCAAAATATCATTGTAACATGTAACTAATACAATATTTTTTTTCCAGTAATGGGGATAGAACTCAGGACCTTACACTTGCAAGGCAAGCTTGGTGCTACTGAGCTAAATCCCCAGCATCATCATTATTGCTTTTATTATTGTTATATGAGGTACTAGGGATTGAACCTAGGCCCTCTATACTAAGCTACATTCTCAGCCCTTTCATTTATTATTTTGAGACAGGGTATCATTAAGTTGGTCAGTTGACCAGGATGGGCTTGAACTTGAGATCTTCCTGCATCAGCCTCCCAGAGTGCTGGGATTATAGGCATATAATATGCCTATAACATGCCACTGTTCCTGGTAGACTAACCACATTTCAAGCACATAATAATCACATGCACTAAGTGACTGATTTCCAACAGCCTGAACCCCTCAAATTCCTTAAAAAACTGTATATCTGCTGGGCATGTGGTACATGCCTGTAATCCTAACACCAGGTAGGCTGAAGCAGGAGGATCACCGTGAATTCAAGGCCAGCCTGAACTACATGGTGAGACCCTGTCTCAAAAAAAAAAAAAAAAAAAAAAAAAAATCAAAGCTGTGTGTCCAAGCTGGTGCATGCCTATAATTATAGCACTCTGGAAGGCTGAAAACCACACATCCAAAACGCATAGATATTTCCAAATAGGTGCCACTGGGTCTTGGCCTTGGAGAGTACTGGGTGTTGCAGAAGGGGGACACAGCACAAGAAAGCAAGGCACAGCTGGAGATGTGTGCTTGTTTGGGTCTGAGGCCATCTGGCATAGATAACTGCCTACATTCAATCCTGGCTCATGGTACAAGCTGGGTGACATTGGATATGCCAGTCAATTTCTCTAAGCTTCAGGTTGCCCATTTTCCAATTGAGGAAAATCTAATACTTCCTTCCGAAGTACTGTTAGAAACATCCTTCAGGCAGGCCTGGAGAGTGAGACGCTGTGAGGAGTGCAATCCACAGCAGCTGTCCTTGAAGCTCTGTCCTTACCCCCAAACTTCAGGGACTTGGTGGGGATCGAGGTGCCTGGATATGTCATGAGGGCCTCTGCCTCTCCACCCCTGGCTTTTTTTATACTCACCATCCAGCTCTCATTAGTCTGAGAGGCCTCTCTGGGGTAAGGGAAGAGAAGTCATGAGAGAGAATGTTCTGCAGGAAAGCATGACAGAAGTTCTTTAAGGGAGATGTTGGGCAGGCCCAGGACATGGGCGTGGCGGGGACCAGGTACTGAGCTCTGAGCTCTCCTCTAAGGTTGGGGCTTCTGGGATGGCAGCCTCTCAGAAGCCCTCTTTCGCAGGTGTTTGGCCTTGGTTCTGTAGCCCAGATGGTGCTTGGAAATAACAAATTTGGAAGCTACCTTGCTGTCAACTTGGGTTTTGGCTTTGGAGTCACCATGGGAGTGCACGTGGCTGGCAACATCTCAGGTGAGTGAACCCAGTCCCTTCCTTGACTGGGTGAGGCTGAGTATTCCTGGCAGGCTATCTCCTGCCCGCCTTCAGGCAGCCCCTTCTCTGACACAACTTTTTAGAGGGAGGAAGAGGCCTCTGAGCCCTTTGCTTCTGCCTGTGTCTTCCCCAGATGCTTCATGGGCTCCCTTGACTCACCATTTTGACTAGGGAGGTCAGTGATGGTGAAGCTTTTAGAGCTTTCAATGATACAAGCAGCCCACGGTGGCACACGTGCCATAGGTCTGCCACCTCATAGCTCGGTCATCTTAGGCAAACTATTTTCCTTCTCTGTTCCTCACTTTCCTTAATGGCGAAATGGAGACGGTGGTCCTCGCTTTGTGGGGTGGCTATAAAGGTTCTATGACAGGACTCTTGTCCTACAACATACAGGCTGTAACGCTAGTCATCATTATTTATTATTGTTGCTGTCAGTATCGCTCATTCTGTTGTTTGTTTCTGCTCTTGCCACCCTGACATACCTCTCCCTCCCTACAGGGGCCCACATGAACGCAGCTGTGACCTTCACCAGCTGTGCGCTAGGCCGCATGCCCTGGAAGAAGTTCCCCGTGTATGTGTCGGGTCAGTTCCTGGGCTCCTTCACGGCTGCTGCCACCATCTACTGCCTCTTCCTCAGTGAGTGCTCCACCCTGCCTGTCTGCCCCTGGCTTCAGCCTTCTCTGAGATCTGGGTCCGTCAGACGCTGGTGCAGCAGTCTGTAATGCCACCTAGGAGAACAAGCCTTGAGGGTGCTCCCCAAACCTCCACTCCACAGCCCCACACCTGGGGTTAGCCAGTGGTGCTAAGCTCAGTCTGTGTCCACAGAGGCCATTCTCCACTTCTCGGGCGGACAGCTGACGGTGGTGGGTTCCACAGCCACTGCTGGCATTTTTGCCACCTACCTTCCCAACTACATGACATTATGGTGGGGCTTCCTGAATGAGGTCAGTGGCCCCTCTCCCCACACCCTTGTCTCCTCCGTGATAAAGAGGCTAAGAATTCTGGGTGGGGACTTTATGAAGGCTAAGACTCTCTGCCTGTGTGCTGGGATTTAGGGCCCCACTGGGACACTGGCTTTGTTAGGACCCTGGTGGGCCGCTGTAATGTCTGCTTCCCAGGTGTTACTGACAGGGATGCTCCAGCTGTGTCTCTTCGCCATCACGGACAAGGAGAACAACCCAGCACTGCAAGGGACCCAGGCCCTGGTGATTGGTGTCCTCATAGTCATCATTGGGGCGTCCTTGGGCATGAACACAGGATACGCCATCAACCCATCTCGGGACCTGCCTCCTCGCTTCTTCACCTTCATTGCTGGCTGGGGCAAAGAGGTGTTCAGGTACGGCTCCTGTCAGGCTCCATTTCTTCAAGTTTTCTGTGGGTCCCCTATACACTGAGGGTAAGGTCTTGTCAGGAGCAGCACAGGGGAGTCCTGCTCCCTGATGTTTCCTGAAACTAGCACAGGTGCTAGGACTACCAAGCCTACCTCCCTGAATCAGGCTGAGGCTAGCTGGGACCCCAGGTGGGCATTCTCTAGGGTAGGAGGCAGGTGGCCTCTCTACTCACCCTACCTTGGCCTGAAGAGGATATGAGTGCTATCCTGGGCATTTTCCCTCTCATCAGGTCTCTGCCTCTTGCTTGCATTTCCAGGGACAACTGGTGGTGGGTGCCAGTCGTGGCACCATTCCTGGGTGCCTACCTAGGTGGCATCGTCTACCTGCTCTTCATTGGCATCCCACAAAACCCCCAGAGACTGGAGAACTCCGTGGTGTGTGAAGACCACAGGATAACTGTATTACCCAAGAGCAGCCTGTGCATGACCTCGTCTTGCACTCCTGTCTCTGCAGCCCCTGCCAACATAGCTACTGTAGCTCAGCCTGCCCCTCCCTTAAGTGGCTCCATGCCCCTAGAGCACTTCTAAGTAGAGTCTGTGATCCTACCCCAGTAAGAGAGCCTTGTTCCACAACAGTACTCTCATGCCCTGAGGACGTCCTTCCTTCCCGGGTTCTTCTGCGAGCTTCCAGGCTATGCCTTAGCTCCAGGCTGGAGCACAGGGTGGAGAGACCTCAATTCTTTCCAGCTCTGGGAGCTGGCGAGGCTGGGTAAGCGACCTTGTAGTCTGAGGGCAAGTTGAAAAGGATTCCAGGCACAGAATGGTGGACTTTTAGGCATAGGAGAGGAAGGCGATGGTTTGGGGAAGGATCAGAGCTAGGTAGCTGGTGTGGGGCTGACTCTGGGGATGCACCAAGAGTGCCCTGGGATAGGACTTTGAGTGGTCCTGTGTCCTCCCTTCCTCCAGTCCTGGCCAGTTGTCATATAAGGCAAGGCCCAAGGGTGCAGATCAGAATTTATCAAGCTATTTTTTGCTGTTGTTATTTTGTTAGCGTTTTCTTCAGCAGCCTTTTGGATATATATTTTTTTACTTCACATTTTAATACCATAGGTATACCACCACATAGGTGTCTGTGCTTTGTACATACAAATAGTTGTGCATAAAAATTGTTTTTTTTTTTTTTTTTTTTTTTTTTT